AGGGCATACATGGAACGCCATAACCAAGTGGCTGGCATAGTGTACAGAAACATCTATGCCGAGTACAGGCTGAAAGTCCCAACGTCAAAATGGGATACACCTCCAAAGGTGGTTGAGAATGACCAAGCTAAGATCCTGTGGGACGTCCAGATACAAACTGACAAACTAGTAATGGCTAACCAACCGGACATAGTAGTAGTGGACGAACAGAAGAAGGCCGTAGTGATAGATGTAGCAATCCCAAGCGATAGCAACATCAGGAAGAAGGAACACAAGAAGCTTGAGAAATACCAAGCGCTGAAAGAAGAGCTAGAAAAGATGTGTAAGGTGAAGGCACAAGTGGTCCCTGTGGTAATACGAACATTGGGGGCTGTGACCCCCAAACTGGGAGAGTGGCTCCAACAGATCCCAGGAACAACATCTGAGATCTCTGTCCAGAGGAGTACAGTGCTAGGAACAGCTAAGATACTGTGCAGGACCCTCAAGCTCCCAGGCCTCTGGTAGAGGACCTGAGCTTGAAGGAAGGAATAAGACTGCTCCAAAGTGGGGGGCGAGTGGGGAATTTTAAATTTTTTTTTATATACATATACACATACTGTACTGTATATACCCACTGTGGTAGAAGAGCTTTCAGATTCACATATGCAATGGTTATAATTTATGATTTATTGTACTGTGGTGATTGTTGTGTCCAGTCATAAAAACATGGATTAGCTGTTCATCAGAGTGATGGCCCAGGGAAAGAAACTGTCTTTGTGTCTGGCTGTTTTGGTGCACAGTGACTTATAGTGCCGTCCAGAGAGGGAGAGTTCAAAGTTTGTGACCAGGATATGAGGGGTCTGCAGAAATCCTCTCTGTCTACTTGATCCGTGAGGTGTACAGGTCCTCCATGGAGGGCAGGCTGGCACTGAAGCTTCTTTCTGCATCGGTGCCAATTCTGAGGCCTGCAAGACATTACAGAAAAAATTGGGACAGTAAAGCATTTACCACAATGTGATGCTGCCGTTCCTTTTCACAACACTTATGTTTAGGGACTGATGACACCAAGTAATTAAATGTGTCAGGTGTCACTTTGTCCTATTCATCCTGCAAACTAGTCTTAAGGTGCGCAACAGTCCTGGGTCTACGTTGACACAATTTGCATTTCAAAATGTGCCACACATTCTCTACTGGGGACATTTCAGGACTGCAGGCAGGCAGGTCCAGCACTCGCGCCCTTGTCCTCCACAGCCAGGCCTTGGTAATGTGTGTAGTATGAGGCTTTGCATTGTCTTGGTGAAATATGCATGGGCGTCCCTGGAAAAGATGTTGTCTTGAAGGCACCATATGTTGCTCCAAAATCTTTCTGTATTTTTCAACAGTAATGGAGCCATCACAGAAGTGTAAGTAACCTTTGCCAAGGCCACTGACACAACCCTAGACATGACAGACTCTGGCTTTTGGACTTGTTGGAGGCGACAGTGGTGCGGTGGGTAGAGCAGTCGTCTCCAAGGTTGAAGGTTCGAATCTCGGTACCTGCAGTCCACTTGTCGAAGTGTCCTTCGGCAAGACACTGAACCCCCCCATTGCCCCTGATTGTTAGAGCCATCAGTTGAGTTGGCACCGCAGATGGCTGCCATTGGTTCTGTACCAGAAACAAATTCCTTGTGTGTAACATACTTGGCCAATAAAGATGATTATCCTTGTTGCTGGTAACAGTCTGGATGGTCCTATTCATCTTTGGTCCGGAGTGCACAGCATCCATTCCTTCCAAAAAAGACCTGAAATACTGATTCGCCTGACCACAGTACACATTTCCACTGTGTGATGGTCCATCCCAGAAGCCTCTGAGCCCAGAGCACAGTACAGTTTTAAGAGGAATTTATGGATGAAATTATGTATTGTGGTTCCTGACACAGGTGTGCCATCAAGAATCGTCATTCTTCTATAAGCGATATAAGTCCATGTGGTTATATCGCTTATAGAAGAGTGATGATTCTTAGTGCAGTGTTGTATGAGGGAACAAAGCGCATGGTAATTCATCTTAGGCTTGCGCCTTGCCCTTTATGCACTGAATTCCCTCCAGATTCCTTGAGTCTTTTAATGATGTTCTGCACCGTAGAGGGTGACACATCCAAATCCCTTCCTATCCTTCTTTGTTGTTGTTTTTAAACATTTCATTAATTTCTCACACATACTGTATGTTGACAAACTGGCGGTCCTCGGCCCATCTTTGCTCCTAAAGGGCAAGGCCTTTCATGGATGCCACTTTTGTACCAAATCATCCATCTTTTTCTTCCTTATTTACACAGATGAAGCTTTTGCTTGAAAAGTGTAATATTTCCAGCAGAGAAATATCATTATTAATTTCCTTTGATATGCCCATTCTGTAAATTATCAAAGGCATATATTTGAATAATAAATACATTAACTATAAGGAAACAGGCAAAACATGCGTTATGCCCTGGGCTACAGCTCTTCTCATTGCATATCATTTTCATGTTGTATGTCAGTTTTCTCCTCTCCCTGCTTTCTCCGTCTTTGTGTTTACCTCCCCTCCTCCACACACACTATCCTGTCATGCCAGCCAGCCAATGTACTGTGAATGGAGGTTAATTCAAGCTGTCAGGCCCTGTTTTAAATGTAACAAATTACCACTGAGCTAAGGAACAGTACATCCCTCCTGACACATCACAAGAGAAGGAGCCTGCGCACCACCATCCTTGACCTCTTCTTCTACCCTCCACCTTTCTCAAACACACACATAATTTTCACCATTTCCCATCTACACCCCCTTCCCTGACAATGTCAGCCAGCCCTGGTCTAGATGGCTCAATCACCCAATATCCTGTGCCCCATTTGCATTATCAGACCTGGCTAGGAAAGCAGGCCAGCAGAAACCTGGGTGGAGGTGGCATATAGATTTATATAGAAAGAGAAAAATGTATGATACCTTGCTAATATGCATAGAAGTGTATTTGCATTCAGGTGCTGCTTATATGAACAAATCTGTATATTTTCCTATGTATAAATGAAGTGAGGAAGCAAAACAATTGCTTGATCATGAAAGGAAATGACCAGGACATGTTTACTTCAAAGACAAAAAATTGTGGAGAAGGAAACAGGAGTGAAGAAGTTGAGAGTCAGATCATATGTTTGTGTCAGGCTGAGTGGGGCCAGCATGTGAGGTTGTCAGATTAGAGGGAAAAAATGTCTAGGCATTGGAGAGGAACATCTCTCCTTTAAGAATGTGGTCTGAATTTTACCCTATAAGGTAGAGATTTATGTAAAGTTTCCATAGGTTAAGCACATTTAATACAGATTAGTTTTATTACATTACAGAATTTATTTTCAAACAGGGAAGAATTTATTCAGTTCAATTCATTTCAGTTTTATTTGCATAAACAGCGAACAGGCATGTATCTTCTGAAGTAAATTCTTCAGGAAAAAAAGGTACAATCCAAGGGAACATCACACGGGCACACTCCAAAGGTCCAGATAACAGTCCAGATTCAGTAATCCAAATATCAACAGTCAAAAAAGACTATGTGGGGCCAAACTAACAGCAAGGGAACCTCCATGTTGCTCAGCTGTTGACTGGGCCTTTTTTTTTCATCAGAATTTTCTATTACAACACTAGGAGGTGTGCTTTACCATGAATGGCCAACATAAAATCACAACGTATTTGAATTACACAACATATGAGTACTATTGCCCCATAATTACATGGATTATAAATATCAATTATTCACCACATTGCCATCTTAGTGTGAATTATGAGACAATTTCAAAGTGTGATGCTACACCTGAACACAATGGACATGTTGGGTCCTCACCTATCCATCTATTCAGATTTTGGGAAAAGGAAGCACATCATAAGTTGCACCTAGAGTGAATCTAATCCCTCCTGCCCCCATGTCCCACATTTCCCTCCAACTAGGTTTCTTCCTTTCTATATCTTCCCAA